GTGGGGTTTTTATAGATTTTTTTAGTTGTAGGATATTATTGGAGAAAAAAAATTGTGTTTGAGAAGATAGTTGGATTTTTTTGTGGTTGAATGTGATATTTGTAAGATAAAAAGTGAAATGATTATGGGTTTGATGTGATATTTTGTTTGGATTTATTTTTTTTGATTTTGTAAAATATTTATCTTGTAGTGAAAAAAATAAAAATAAAAATCCAAAAACTAAGTTCCCAAACACCCCATAATAGCAATGCAATCCTCACGCGCGCGTGAGGTCCAACTAGTTATGTAAAAAAATAAATATGACATGTAGGACAACATCATATGCTATTTTAAGTCACGCGCACACAGCTATGAGTTGAATTACGATTTCAAATTAAAATAACACTTAAATATTATCAAAATGTCTTCTCTATACAAAAGCTTATCTTTTTGAGGTGTAGTCGAATTGTATTTAAAAATGTTGTGATTGACAATGATTGTGAGACTTATAATTTTGGATAAATTATAAATATGTTTTTTAAATTTTGATTAAAATATAAATCATCTCTTGTAGACCTAAAAATTATATTTTACCCTTTGAGATTTTTAATTTTATAATAAATCACCTCTCTTATTAATAAATTATAAAGTCAATTAATAATTTTTAATAATGTTATAAATATGTTTCAATTAATAATTTAAATAATTTTATTATTGTATAGGAGAGCAATTATGAATTTCTTTTTTTAGTTAATTCTGTTAAATAAAAAAATTTAACGATGAAGTATTTGTAATTTTTTAAATTACAATGGACAATCTGTACTTTAAACAAACTTCAAGGAATGTATTTGTAATTTATCCTATAATTTTATATTAAAATATAAAACAACATCAATAAAATTTGGGAATTTTTATTGATAAATTTTATTTAGAAGTGTTCTAACCCAAAAAATTCATGAAGTAATTATTTAACTCACTTAATCCCATGTATTTATATTTTTATTTCATAAAGTCTTTTTATTGATTTACATTATTTTCTTAAATTCTTATACCCTTATATTTAATATTAATAATGTTGGGGAAGGAGAGAGAAGGGAAAGGATCAAGACATAAGAATTTTCATACACAAATTAAATAACATTGATATTATTATTCTATATTATTATATAATGTGAATATATTTTAAATTGACAACACATTAAAAATAATGTAAACATTCTCTTTCATTTAATGTGAACATTCACAATATTTTTCCGAAAAATCCTCTCTTATCGAATGTAGTGATGTGAACGTTCACAACAACATTAAAAATAATGTGAACATTCTCTCTGATCTGATGTGAACATTTACAACACATTTTCAAAAAATTCTCTCATCTAATGTAATGATGTGAACGTTCACAACATGTGAACTTTTTTATTTTTAATTGACAACACATTATTTTCACTATATTTTTAATTGACAATACATTTTTATTCATAACATGTAGTGATGTGAACGTTCACAACATGTGAGTATTTTCTATCATCTAATGTAGTCATGTAATTGACAACACAATAACAAAAATTTATTTTAAATTAATATGAATATAATGACAGTTAACGTCCTAATGCATTGGAACTACCAAAATATAATAACAATCAACATTAAATACTCCAATATTAATAGGGGTCAGGAGAGATTGAGAGTGATTTGATTTTTTTTACCTCAAATACGATCTAATAAAATAGTCAAAAAAAATATAGATTAAATAGAATAAAATTATTAAAAAGAGGATTTATCAAAAAAAAAAAAAAACTCTAAAATTTGACAATTGATGATTTATTGAAAAAAAAGATGCCCGATAAATTTTCTAAGTTGAGACTGTAACAAGAATTTACCTTTTATTTTAAATTCAAAAAAAAAAAATTGACAAAACAATAATTGACTTTGGAGGATAGACGATGAGATATATTATGATGAATAAGAGAGTAATTATTCAGTAATTTTATAATATATATATGTGATATTTTATAGAATTATGACGGTGAAAAAAGTAGAAAAATGAAATATTATATTAAATAATTAAAAAATATAAAAATTATATTAATTAATTAAGAAGTATGAAGGCCTAACACTAATTTTTCAATGAATAGAGTGAAATATATTTATATTTATTTGTATTCCTCAACTGTATCTCTCACCGACATCGGCTGGTGATATCAAAGTACGGGTTGTATCTATATGTATATATTACACACAACCAATGACTTTTGTATCAATCTCACTTGGGAATAAGTCCATTCAATTATCACTATTTTTTTTATAATTAATTAAATTTAGTAAATATCTTACTTACATATGAGCTCCATTATACGAATATTCTTCCAAAATCAAATAATTTTTTTAAAAAACGACCCCTTTATATTGGTGAATTTGTAACAATCACACCTATTTTTCAAAAAACTTATCTTTAGTGAGTTTTTTAAATTTGTGTCAATTTTTTTTTGTTTTTCAAGTTTGTTTACATAATCTAAAAATTTTTAAAAAGAAAATCTAAAACAAAAGTTATTTAAAAAAATGTTTTTCTTAATAGACTTTATTCAAAATTTATTTATTTATTTACTTTTTTGGTCAGATATTTGGGATTTGTTTTTTTGACAATTTTTTCTTGACTCATTATTTTCGTTTTTAGTTTTTTTTTTTTTTTTTTTAAATTAGGATACTATATTCTACCCAATGAGGCAAATCGAAAAATTAAATTTTTAAAAAAAATTTCAAAAAGACAAAAATAAATTTAAAAAAAAAACAGTAGACTTTTTTTTACTTCAGTTTTTTTTTAAAAAAAAATTGGAATTTTGTATTTTTTTGCTTTTTAAATTCATTTTGAAAAGTAAAAAAATTAACATTAAAAAAAATACTAAAAATAAAAAGGGTGATTTATTTCTAACTTCCCAAACAACTAATAAATCTAGTTTTTTTTTTCCCCCTCTCTCTCTATATAATAGATTGTTAGAGAATTAATAAATTTGATTATAAACATTCTCATTGCCCTAAGAAAAAACTATATAGACTATTGGGCCAACTGTCTAATTCAACTAATAAGCTTAGGTTGTTAAAAAATAATTGCCAAAATTTGACCATCGGGCTAACTACCCGGCCTAACTAAAAAGTTTAAGTTGTTAAAAATCAATAAGTAAGGCCTTGTTTGTGAACTTGCTATTTTTAGTAATTTTTTGATTTTTTATGAAATAATGTGCAAAAAAGTAGAGAGAATGATGTGACAACTTATTGTGACTTTTAGACTAAAATATATAGTTGACAAACAAGGCCTAATTATATTTGTACATTATTCCTTTTCTCAGTACCCACCATTTTTTTAATTTTTTTTAATTACCATTTTGTCACTTAACAAAATTACCAAAGAGAACTTAAATACACTAGTCAACCCCTCCCGTGCCGAGGGTTAGTTTTTGTCACTTCAAACTCTAGCCATCACTTGCACTGATGTCGGTGACACCATCTACTAATCTCAACTCATCATCGTCGCCTCCTTTAACCATCATTCTCATTCCCTTTATAGCTCTCAACCCACCGCAGGACGAGTCAGAAAGAGAGAGAAAAGAGATCATAGGGAAGCGCCACCACAACCCAACAACGACAACCCATCCTCATCCCTTTGCAGTGCCGTCGCCGACAAAGTTGTAATTGAGAGAGACAGAAATCGATGATTATGATCATGTTCGCGTGCGCGAGAGAGAAAAAGAGAAAAAACGGTAATAGATGATGAGGATAATGGTTGCAGTAGTGGTGACAACAGCGGCGGCTAGTGTTTGTGATTGGGGAAGTTAAGGGTTTTGTATTAATTAATGGGCAAGCGAGGGGCGGTAAGGGTCACCGAAAAAAAGAAAAAGAAAAATGAAAAAAAAGAGGTTGAAGAAGGGGGCGGCGATAGGAAAGGTGGCAGTCGTCGGTAATGGACGATCGGAGGAGGAAGGGCTGGGTAAGGAGGTGGCCAGCTATTGCAATGGAGGTAGTTAGAGTTAGGGTTTGGTAGCGAAAATAAGTGTATCCATTTAAAAAGAGAAAATTAGGCCAATTTAGTATTATTTAAAAATTAGTGGCGTGTGTTGATATAAAATCAAAATATTTATATTTTGTGAGATGTAAATTAAATAAGTAGTGTATACTAGACAATCAGTGTAAATAGAATCATCCAAAAACAAGGGTAATTATATTTTCATACACCAAAATATCTCACTCTACATCATCTCTCAATACACACACCAACAAATTTTGAATGTTGCAATTTTACTCAATGCACAACCCTTTTTGCCAAAAATATCAATTTCTTTAACATTGAAACCCTAAACCAACACCCATTCTCTAGATCAAGTTCCATTATATGCAATACAGAATATAGGAAAATACAACTTAAAGCCTCTACATACATAAGCTGCAATATTGACCATAATAAGCATATGTCATAAGGCGATGGGGTGATGCCTCATCAGGCGCTTCAATAGCATATAAGCAAGAAAATGAGTGTGCTAACAAAACAAACACAATCATCATAAACAAAGTAGTTACGATGAAATAATGCTTTTCAGAAAACAAAACAAATACACCATTCAATCATAGAAAAATTTCCACTTAATTGGTTAGTGTTGAGATCAAAAGATTGCAATGAACTCAAATTTCCAAAACTATAACAGCGGCGGCAATAGTAGTGGGAGATAGCTAAAATTAGGATTAAGAAATTAGGGTTTTAGTGAAGAAGATAAGGATAGTTTAGTAAATTTTTTAGGATAAAATTGTAATAAAAAAATAAATAATTAAGCGTGTGCACAAATGTAAATAAGTATATGTGAAAATAGAATTTTCTCAAAAGCAATTGTCAAATTTTTGTAAACTAAAAAGAGCCCTCCCATTTAAAGATATTTGCATATATAACCAAATCCGCCGGCGAGAAATGGGCCGGGAACACAAAAAAGTCAAATTGTTGCATTAATTGTCTTCTCTCTTTGCGTTTTATTTTAATTTACACCCTTTTTAAATTACCCATAAATGTAAAATACATTAATCTCCCTCGCTTATTCATACACACACACCAACCATTGCAATAAAATCCAATACCATCGATCTCAAATATATACGCTCTATCGATTCACGTGATCTTTTTCCTCAAGGTATCTCTCTTTCTCTTTCTACAATCATATGTAAATACCTATATGTGTGTGTGTGTGTTTGTATGTATGCATAGATGCGTGTGTTTATGCCGATGCTGTATCAGAAGTAGCAGATCTAGGGTTCATAATGCTGAATTTGCTCAAATATTGTTCTTCGTTGTGTTCTTTATCTCTGGTTATTAATTTCAACGCTGCTTTGTTTTGCAGTTGAGCTGATTTTTGTAGTTTACGCTAAATTTAGATATATATCGGAATGAGGTTCGGATTTTTACGGTTTTCTATGTTTAATTATACTTGTTTCTACACATTTTTTGCTGTTGAATTATGGAAATTAATAGTTGATGTGGTTTTGTGATGATTAGATTGTGAGGGAAGGGATCGACAAGAAGAGAAGAGAAGAGAGGGGAATTAGATAGAAGGGTGAAGATGAGTGAGGGGCAGAGGTTTCAACTGGGGACTATTGGGGCACTGAGTTTGTCGGTGGTTTCATCTGTTTCAATTGTGATTTGCAACAAGGCGCTTATTACCACACTTGGTTTCTCTTTTGGTGAGTGATCAATCTCTTCAGCCATACAAAACTGCAAAAATTCTTTTTTATTTTTTTTGTGTTATTTAACATTGATCCGATTCGGTTTTGTTTTGTTTCGCACTTTACAATGGGCATACTACAAACGAAGTGTGCAGAAAGTTCGGTTGTCCAATTAAATTGTTCATATTTATTTTTGTAGCACTTGCATGTCATGTTAAAACAAATTTATTTGAGTATGGTTTTATGAATACATATATGGTTTTTGTAATAAAGTAGAACAAACATTATTTTTCTTCACCCCGGTTGAGAAAAAGGAATAAATGTTGCAAAAGATTTTTGCCTTGCCAATATGAGATTATTATTATTATTATTATTATTATTTGGTAAGAAAAATGCTGAAGCAGATAGGCTATTCCAACCTCACTGCCAAGGCACATTGTCCCATAGAACCCACAGGCATCTGCAAGACGGGTGGTAGCCACTAAGTGCACCGGTGGTCCCATGCACTGGGAATGCTATGAAATAGAGATGAATATGAGATTAATTGACTATTAAAGAAATTCATTCAATCTACGGGGCTTTAGTTTATTTTTTTCACTTTTTGTAGTAAATTTCTGATAAAGTGGGGAGAATTGACAGTTGTAGTTAAAATAGAGAATTTATGACTAAAAACGTCTCCAAAGTCGTGTGGCTGGTGGTAGAAAATCTACTGGTATTTATGGGTTTGTATTCTAACGTCGATCATACTAATTATTGCTCTGCTGAGTTGAATGGTTGTGCTTCTCCATGCATTTGTTTTGAAATGTTAAAGCCAAAATACATTTAATGCTTCCAGTTCCACCAGATATGAGGTCTCATTGAAACGGCCTCGAGCATATCTTATAGCTATAGCATATCACACTGTAGGGGTGATAGAGTCATTTCTCTAGAAGAGCAGGGTGGGGAATAACCAACAAGTTTTGCTTTTTTCAATATTTCTCTTCTCATGATGACTCGGCCTATGTCATGATGTAGCACGGTGTCATTGGCAACATATTGCTGGTGATTCCTATTATTGTAAAGGGGATGATCCCTTCATGTAGTATCAAGCATAGATATAGGAGGGTAAGGGTGATAGACTACTCAGTTGAGGCTTTCTCTATAGTTATGCAGTTTCACATGTTAAATGTAATGATTTGTTGATCTAGACACAAGAATCATGTCTCAAGATGGACAGGATAGGTGGTTAGTGCAGCTTTCAAGAATGTAGACATGGAATGTGTCTGTGATTTACAATTATTAAGCATATATGTCTATTAGTGTTTAAGCTTTTGTTTGCTGCCCTACAAGAAATTAAGAGCAAATAGCCAAAACCATGAATAGCGAAATTTACGATGAAATTACTATATGGAAAAGTTGCTTGGAAAAAAAAATGAACAGTTATTGTTTCTGTTCCATGTATGGAAAAGAGGTGGACTGGCTTATAAGTGATCAAGCAAAGTTGAACCTCTAGTAGGTTTAATATTGTGTCATTGGTTGCTAATGAGACTTAGATTATGGATTAGATTATTTTATATAATTGTTATTGTTAAATGCTGAATGATTCTTAATCAAGGATTTTGATGTATATGCGTAGAATTTTATGTCAATCTAAAATTTTCGTCAGTGCTATTGCGAAAGCCTAACTAATTCACTGCTCTCCTTAAATCTATAGCTGGTTCACTCTCCCAGACTCAACATAATTTCAGTTGTATACATTATGCGTTGTGATTTACGCAAGTTGAGGATTCAACAATGAATAGCTCCATGTCTCTCATGTATTTGATACCCAATTATTCTCATGCACATTGATCTTTCTAGCAATTTCTTCTTGAGGCACAAAATATGGGCAAATTGTATGGGACTTTTAGTGACCCTACATCTCTTTCATGTAGCTCATGTATGAATATGACATATGCCTTGTGATGCTTTCTAATGAAAATAATATAATAACAAAGTCATGAATCTTAATAGCTTTAGTATAAGCTGTGCGACGAAGGTAAGATTCAACAAATTGAATTGAATTGCCTTGCTAGGATTTGTTAAGGCCTCCTTGGTATGCAAACCCTGAACTACCCATCCAATAGGGCAAGGAAAGAGGGCCAGTAATTGACACCATTCCATCCAAATGGACTAACTGTCTAAAATGTCTTTCTATGAATTTTTTTATTTTTATTTTTTTAAGGAAATTTGATGAATAGTCCAAATTTCTGTCTGTGAGTTGAAATGGTTAATCACTTAACTAGATGGACAGATTTAAAACTAAAATATTTTACATTTTGAATCATACTTGCCATTCTATTGAGGGAAAACTTGAAGATATGGAATCAGCAATTTTCTGGATTTTCATCTGAAGTGATTCCATTTTCTAAGGGATGATTTCTTTTCAATAGCATTACAAAACCTCATCGTGCATTTGATTATCCTTAATCACTGATATATTAAATTTTGAATTCAGAAATTAACTAAATTTAGCTGAGCCTTTTTTCTTCTTTTTGTTTTGTTTTTTTTTTTTGTTAAAAAAAAAAATCATTTAACTTGTTATATTGCAGATGTCATTCCATCAGCACCCAATTTCTGTTTCATGACTGCTTTGTAGACATTATTGTGAATTCTAACTTCATTCTTTGATGCTTCAGCTACAACTTTGACAAGCTGGCATCTTCTGGTCACATTTTGTTCCCTCCATGTGGCTTTATGGATGAAATTGTTCGAGCACAAGCCTTTTGATCCTAGAGCTGTGATGGGCTTTGGTGTCCTGAATGGGACTTCCATTGGACTTCTGAATCTTAGCTTGGGTTTCAACTCTGTTGGTTTCTACCAGGTAAAGTTATGGTTTGAAATTATTTGTTTTAAACATTTTACAGTGTTAATGATTGGAGGGTATTGAACTTGAATTATTTTTGTTTCTGGAGAGCAATTACTGTTTTAGAAATGTTTATGCATTTCAGAGCATTGGTGACTATATTTGCATTAGTTTTGTGAGGCATCACATGTACTATAGGTTATTTGAGCATCACATGATCCATTCTTTCTTCTTTGAATGGTCATTGCTAATAGCGAAATGCCTTTGATGGCCTTGTTGGTTTGTGTTTTTGCAAATTATAATTCCAGAACATCTAGTCGTGATTTTGCAACTTTCATTCCATCACGCATGAAAGTTGTCATGAATATGTTGGCCTTGTTGGTTTGTGTTTTGAGATACTATTTCAAAAATAATTTTTTGGAGAGATTTTAGAAAATTTGAAAATTTGTTTGGTTGTATATTTTGAAAATAGTTTTGGAGTTTGGGATGATTGGCTATTTTTTTGTAGTTGAATGGATGGGTGTGAGAGAAAAAGTGTTTGAGAAGGAGAGAGGAGAGTGACAAAGTGATTGATTAATGTGTAGTAGAGAGAAAAGTGATTTTGGAATTTTTTTCTCCAAAAACATGTTTTGAGAGATAAACCAAACATGGCCGTTGTCATGAGATCTTTTTCTATCCTGGTTGTATCTTGTTCAAAATTCAAATCCATATACTCAAAGTTGGATTTTCATCTTTTAAAATTTTTATTTGAAGTGTTAGTTTCTGAACCTTTTTCTCTTGACTTTTCATTTTAGATGACAAAACTGGCAATTATCCCCTGCACAGTTCTTTTGGAGACTATTTTCTTCAGGAAGAAATTCAGGCAAGTTTTAATTACACATTCCCACTAATTGTGGCAAGATGATGTTTTATTCGTTTCTTATGCTCCTAAAGAAGAACTCACTGTTTGTACAAGTGAAGTTATTTGTATCTTTGGGTTGGGAACCTGTTTCTTATGTTTTGATCCCAAGTGACATTATTGTATGCAACTCTGAAGCCCTTCTGTTGAATAAGCTGTGACCATCTTGGGCAGCTAATGAGCACCAGTCCTTTTGGAGTGATCAATGTTTAAGTGGATTGTTCCAGTACGAGAAATAGGAATAGGGAAATGGTACACCACATATCTAGAATGTAGTGTGAATCATAGTGGGGTGGGTTTGTGTAGATCACAATATCTAATTTTAATATTTCTAAATGTGAGCAATTTTTTATTAATAATTAGAGATCCAACAAAATAGTCTATTATTCTTCAAATTAATCATATAGAAACACATTTTTAACAACGTTATTACATTTTGTCCAGCCAAAAGGCCACTTTTTTTAGATTTTATTCATTATATTTGATTTTTTTTCTCTTAAGAAAATGTTTGAGGAAATAAATAGGAAAAAAATTTGATTGTTTTGTTAACTATGTGGCTGCTCAGTTCTATTTTATTTCTCTCACTTACCTATCCATTCTATGTGCACCAGCAGTTTTGTGCCTTTTGTGCTTTAATATTAGTTTCTTGTATTTCATTCAAAGCAACTACTTTAATTTGTAATTTTGTGATTTTTTTTTCTGGCTTTCATTTTCTTGGTTATATATATATATGTACATTCGTTCAGTTACAAGTTTGAGTTATGACATTTAACAATGATGCGCAGTCGAAATATCCAGCTTTCACTTTTGATCCTTCTTTTGGGTGTTGGGATTGCAACCGTGACTGATCTGCAGCTAAATGTCCTGGGATCTGTATTATCTCTGCTTGCAGTTGTTACAACCTGCGTTGCTCAGATTGTATCCTCAGCTGCCTTTATTATTACTTTTGTTTGTTTCCTTTTTTATATATGCCAAGGTTTATATTAAAGCAAATTAAATAATTATAATCAATATGAAAAAAGAAAGACTGCATTTCATTTTGATTTGAGGCCAACTATGCAAATGTTTTTCCCCCCATTATTAAAACTTATCCTGTTGTTTTAAGCCCTTAATGAGTTACTTCTAGATGACCAATGCCATCCAGAAGAAGTTTAAAGTTTCTTCAACACAACTCTTGTATCAATCTTGTCCCTATCAGGCAATCACCTTATTCATCACTGGCCCATTTGTAGATGGGCTTTTGACAAATCTGAATGTCTTTGCTTTCAAGTATACTCCTCAAGTGCTGGTGAGATTTGCAACACTGAAAATGTTTTTCCCCCCATTATTAAAAAACTTATCCTGTTGTTTTAAGCCCTTAATGAGTTACTTCTAGATGACCAATACCATCCAGAAGAAGTTTAAAGTTTCTTCAACACAACTCTTGTATCAATCTTGTCCCTATCAGGCAATCACTTTATTCATCACTGGCCCATTTGTAGATGGGCTTTTGACAAATCTGAATGTCTTTGCTTTCAAGTATACTCCTCAAGTGCTGGTGAGATTTGCAACACTGATACCCTCCCTCTGCCCCTGAACTTGCTTTGCCGATGTCTTTTTTTTTTAATATTGTCTAAAATGCTATTTTCTCTCATATTGTCTTCATTTCAGGCCTTCATTGTTCTATCGTGCCTCATATCGGTCTCTGTGAACTTCAGTACCTTTCTTGTAATAGGAAAGACATCTCCAGTCACCTATCAGGTCTTAGGACATCTTAAAACATGCCTAGTTTTGGCGTTCGGCTATGGTCTGCTCCATGACCCCTTTAGCTGGCGAAACATTCTAGGAATTCTCTTCGCTTTGGTTGGGATGATACTCTATTCCTATTGCTGTACACTTGAGAGCCAACAAAAGGCCAACGAAGCATCTGTACAGCTGTCCCAGGTACTTCACATTCTTCATTTTTTCCCCACATGTTTTTTTTTTTTTTTCGTAATTCATTTTGTGCTTAAATCATCATGCTATGTTTTTGGACAAGTAGTCTACTAATCCTCTTTCCTTTTGCATCATTCAAGGCAAAGGAGAGTGAATCTGAACCTCTAATGAGTGTGGAAAACGGAGCTAGTGTCTTAGCTGACAGCGTTGTTTCAAAAAGCCCTGCATGGAGTTCAAACAAGGACCTGCGTGCATGAAGCTTCTTCAATCTTTATTTATTAATTTTACCCTAGTTCAAAATTGATCGACAACTATTCCAGCGATGAAGATGTCGCTTCTAGGATCTCCATGTATTGTATGACACAGGGCTGGCTTGGCCTTTTTGAGGAGATGAAAAATTCTGTTCTAGTGTTTACTAGAATTAAAAGGAAATGTTTTTGGTTTTTTTGTTGTAGCAGTTTTGTTTATTATTATCTTTGTAAGAGTTAGGTGTGCCAATAGAATGGGTATTTGCAGATGGCTATTGTTGTTCCCGAATACATGTAACAGTCTCCCCTTTTAACTGCAATTTATGTCAAGATTGATTTTTCTGTTAAGAAAATTAAGACAATACCATCTTGAAGATCAAGCTATATCCATTTTTATCTGAAATTGATTCTGCTTAGATTACATTTGTGTACATGTTTATGGTGATAGCTTGCGGCCTCTCTCTCTCTCTCTCTCATACACACACACACACACACACACACACACACAAAAAGAATGTAAGAACTAATTAGAGCGGCCAGGCAGATAAACAGAAAGTATAGTCACCAGAAATACCCATGTATTTATTTATTCAGAATGAATAGAGGAAAAATATCAATATCCTTGCAGAAATTTCTTAGCTAATAGAATGGTTGATTATGTGAAATTTGAACAATTTTTTGTATGTGGTCATTATACAGGTAACTGAGCTAACGGATGGAATATAATGAGTGAGTAATCAGTGAGTGAGTGTATCTATTGTATGATATGTTTCCTCAGCTTTTCAAGAATGGCATTGCCATTCTGTGAGGCACTTGGATTCCTACTCACTGCAACTCTGGAGATTGTACGGTTGGCAATTTCTGCTTCCCACATCTCTTTCCTTTTATTGCGGTCACGCCTACAGATATTCAATAAAATTGCAGAACAATTAACCATGTTCGTTTCATTATTGGTCGTCCTCACCATCCTGAGCAACCAAGGCACAGCGCCAAGCTCCCCCATTTCCTCCACAGCTTGCTGTTGGCTCGAAAGCAATGTCAAAACCGTCAACAACATAGAAACAACTGGTCCTGTGCCCTCCTCCTCCATTATCTTTTTCACAAGCACCCTCACAGCTCCATCCTGAACAGCTTTTACTCGATTCTCTCTGTTCTCACACAGTCTGTATATTGCTAAAAGGACATCCTTCATTGCCACTGGATGCCCTTCTTCTACAAGATCAATCAAAGGTTTGAAAACACCTAAATTCCCAATAATGACCTTGTTGCAATCAAAGGTTGCTAACGTGAACAGTGATGCAGCAGCATTGCTTTTCGTTTGAATGGTCAATCCGGTTTTCAACGTTTCAATCAGCAAAGGGACAACAATAGGATTCCGTGCAATGGGTCTCTTGTTTTTCTCGTGAACTGAGATATTATGAACCAATGTGATCAAATCCTCTTGGAGTTCAGGATCCAGCAGCAAATGAGCTGCACTACCATTTCCAGCTGGTGAAACAAGTGGTTCAAGTGATCTGGAAATCGCATCCTTGGACTCAACAAAAAGGGCTCGAAATGAGGGCTGATACCTGGTCAGTCGACGAAGCTCTCTTGCAGCTCTTTTCTGATCAGAGATAGAAGAAGAAAACATCTTTTTGAGCAGTGAAAATAAGCAGACCTTGTCTGCTTCAGTTATCTTACTCTCATCCATAATACGCTCACGAGGCTCTGCTAATTTGATGCTACGGTCCTTGCACCATTGTGTTATCATTTCTCGCACCAAGTGATTGGGGCTGAGGATAGTATAGGAGAGGACTTCCGCAGTTTGAGGGCACAACCAATGGTCGTCGTCTAACCACTCCATAATGGAACACCGATCACAGGTCTGTATTTAACCACCATACCACAACAAACAAAAAGCGTACAAAAATGAGTAACTCTGGGTGAAAATGATTTGGAATGTTAAAATCTTAATTCAGAACCGAATTCTCAACAACTTCACCTACACATCAAGCCAAATAAGTACAAGAAATTAAAGATTATACAGAACTCAAATATATATTTTTAAATGACATCAAATTTTTGGAATTGAAATTGCAACTAGGCACTGCAATCCAAAGTTACCCAACAAACAAGAGCCTAAACAAATAAGAAAGTTTGAAACCGAACTGAAATTCACATGTAGAATACTTCAAAATCTATTATTGCCAACCATATAGGATATGACAGAGTATTCAACCTAACAGAGTAAAGACCATAACTGACAAAGCAGTGAAATTCTTGCATGCAATTAAACCACTCATAATGCAAGCAGAATAGGGGGGAAAATTAACAAAGAGACTTAAAAATTATGAAATTTTCCCAGAAACAGTTTTCAGGATCAATTTAACTAGCCATTTTTTATTTTATTATTAAAAAAAAAAATTCAAAACATAGAACAAAAAACGAATTGCCAATCAAACAGATTGAATAAAGACTGCAACTGATAGAATCGAAGTTCTGGCATTCATTAAACCACTCAAATCCAAACAATATCACAAACATAATTGAATTAAACTCAGAATGAATCTTAAGAAAGAAAGGGAAGGAACCAAAATTCACATTTTTCAGGATACTTGAAACCCATTGCATTGCTACCACACAACAGAGAATTCAAGATCACTCTAAAGACCACAAGAGTGATATTCTTGCAAGCATTTTACCACTCAAGTCAAAACAGTAACACACAAACAGGGTTGAATTCATCTAAGAATGAATTTCAAGAAAGAAAAGGAAGAGAAAAGAAAAACCCAAATGCCAATAAAGAAAAATAGGCATGAATTCAAGCTCTGACCTGCCCAGTTGCCAAGACAACAGGGTCATGCATAATCTCTCCGGAAATGGGACATTTGAACTCTTCAGGAACAACCATATAAGAAGCTGATTCCTTGCATTTCAATTCTTTCAAAGAAGATACGAATCTTAAGGTCTCATTTGTAATCTCAATCCCCTTAACTTTTAGTTCTTTCAATGAAGATAAGATTCTCATGGCCTCATCAGTTGCCTTAATCTCGTAATCATCTTCATCAAGAATGGGCTTTATCTGTCTCTGCAATTCTTTCTTTAACTCCGTGGCATTTTCTGCCTTGCGTGGACCAGTATCAAAGTCTTCTGGGTTTGCCATGGGAGCAAATCTTGAAAGGGATAACAAAAATGGAAGACCAAGAAAGAAGGGAAAAAATAAAATAAAATCGAATTGGGTTTGTGCTTGAGAAGAGTGGGAAAGAAATGAGAATTAAATGACACTTTCGAGTTTTCACTGAGAAGAGTTGATGGACATATATATATACCGCTACTCTGTCTTTGTCGCAGTAGAAAAGTGGTTTTCCTGATCATTGTAACCAATCGTTTAATGCCACACAAGGTTTTGAAAGTGGCGGTGTTTGAATACACTTGAAAATGTTCAAAAAAAGTATTTTTCTATGACATAAATTTGATTAATACTCTACAATGAGTTTGTTAAAATAGAAAATTAATAGTAAATGGTGTTTACACAATGTCATCCCTGTGACTGTTCTAAAAGTAGGCTCACTGGGCGCGATATCGAATGTCATAAAAGATATAAGTGAAGTTTTATTAGACCCAAGTTGTCATGTGATCAAGTCACAGGAGCATCATCGTAAGGGAGGGATTGATCGAAGGACTCATTCCTTTAGTTGAGCCATTTCTTGAATGGATGAGTGAAACAATGCTGCATTTTTTTTCTTGTTGTTTATTATGACCTTTAGGCTTGATTGCGAAGGGACTATTTTAATGGATTTTTATTTTTTATAAAAAGACGTGTAAAAAAGTAGAGACAGTAATGTGACTACTGCATTGTTTTTGAGTTTTTGGCTAAAATAGCCTATTTTGTAAGAGTTAGGTGTGCCAATAGAATGGGTATTTGCAGATGGGCCGTTGTTCCCAAATACATATGACAGTCTCCCCTTTCAACTACAATTTATGCTAAGATTGCTTTATCTAAGACTAATAGATCGATTCTGCTTCAGATTACATTTGTGTACATGTTTATGGTGATAGCTTGCAGCCTCTCTCTCTCTCTCTCACACACACAGACACACAAAGAATGGGAGAACTAATTAGAGCAGCCGGGCAGATAAACAGCAAGTGAAGTCACCAGAAATACCCAAGTATTTATTTATTCAGAATGAAAAGAGGAAAAATATCAATATCCTTTGCAAAACTTTCCTACCTAATAGTATGGTTGACTGTCAAATTTGTACAATTTTTTTTTTTTAATGTGATCATTTTACTTACAGGTAACTGAGCGATCAGATAGAATATATGAATAAGTGAATGAGTGAGTGGTCAGTGAGTGAGTGTATCTATTGTACGAAGCTTTTCCACAGCTTATCAAGAATAGCATTGCCATTCCTTGAGGCCTTTGGATTCTTACTCACTGCAACTCTGGAGATCGTACCGGTGGCAGTTTCTGCTTCCCACATCTCTTTCCTTTTACTGTTATCGCGCTTACAGATATCCAATAAAATTGCAGCACAATTCACCATGTTGGTTTCATCATTGGTTGTCCTCATGATTTTCAGCAACCAAGGCACCGCGCCAAGCTCCCCAACTCCTCCACAGCTTGCTGTTGGCTTGAAAGCGATGTCAGAACTGTCAACAACATAACAACAACTGGTCCTGTACCCTCCTCCTCCACAATCTTTTTATCAAAGTCTTCTGGGTTTGCCATGGGAGCAAATCTTGAAAGAGATAACAAAAATGGAAGACCAAGAAAGAAGGGAAAAAATAAAATAAAATCGAATTGGGTTTGTGCTTGAGAAGAGTGGGAAAGAAATGAGAATTAAATGACACTTTCGAGTTTTCACTGAGAAGAGTTGATGGACATATATATATACCGCTACTTTGTCTCTGTCGCAGTAGAAAAGTGGTTTTCCTGATCATTGTAACCAATCGTTTAATGCCACACAAGGTTTTGAAATTGGCGGTGTTTGAATACACTTGAAAATGTTCAAAAAAAGTATTTTTCTATGACATAAATTTGATTAATACTCTACAATGAGTTTGTTAAAATAGAAAATTAATAGTAAATGGTGTTTACACAATGTCATCCCTGTGACTGTTCTAAAAGTAGGCTCACTGGGCGCGATATCGAATGTCATAAAAGATATAAGTGAAGTTTTATTAGACCCAAGTTGTCATGTGATCAAGTCACGGGAGCATCATCGTAAGGGAGGGATTGATCGAAGGACTCATTCCTTTAGTTGAGCCATTTCTTGAATGGATGAGTGAAACAATGCCGCATTTTTTTTCTTGTTGTTTATTATGATCTTTAGGCTTGTTTGCGAAGGGACTATTTTAATGGATTTTTATTTTTTATAAAAAGACGTGTAAAAAAGTAGAGACAGTAACGTGACTACTGCATTGTTTTTGAGTTTTTGGCTAAAATAGCCTATTTTGTAAGAGTTAGGTGTGCCAATAGAATGGGTATTTGCAGATGGGCTATTGTTCCCAAATACATATGACAGTCTCCCCTTTCAACTGCAATTTATGCTAAGATTGCTTTATCTAAGACTAATAAATCGATTCTGCTTCAGATTACATTTGTGTACATGTTTATGGTGATAGCTTGCAGCCTCTCTCTCTCTCTCTCTCACACACAGACACACAAAGAATGGGAGAACTAATTAGAGCAGCCGGGCAGATAAACAGCAAGTGAAGTCACCAGAAATACCCAAGTATTTATTTATTCAGAATGAAAAGAGGAAAAATATCAATATCCTTTGCAAAACTTTCCTACCTAATAGTATGGTTGACTGTCAAATTTGTACAATTTTTTTTTTTTAATGTGATCATTTTACTTACAGGTAACTGAGCGATCAGATAGAATATATGAATAAGTGAATGAGTGAGTGGTCAGTGAGTGAGTGTATCTATTGTACGAAGCTTTTCCACAGCTTATCAAGAATAGCATTGCCATTCCTTGAGGCCTTTGGATTCTTACTCACTGCAACTCTGGAGATCGTACCGGTGGCAGTTTCTGCTTCCCACATCTCTTTCCTTTTACTGTTATCGCGCTTACAGATATCCAATAAAATTGCAGCACAATTCACCATGTTGGTTTCATCATTGGTTGTCCTCATGATTTTCAGCAACCAAGGCACCGCGCCAAGCTCCCCAACTCCTCCACAGCTTGCTGTTGGCTTGAAAGCGATGTCAGAACTGTCAACAACATAACAACAACTGGTCCTGTACCCTCCTCCTCCACAATCTTTTTCACGAGCACCCTCACAGCCCCATCCTGGACAGCTCTCACTTGATTCTCTCGGTACTCACACAGTCTGGATATTGTTTTAAGAACATCCTTCATTGCCAGTGGATGCCCTTCTTCTACAAGATCAATCAAAGGTTTGAGAGCTCCCGAATTAACAATAATAGCCTTGTTGCCATTGACTGCTGCTAACGTGAAGAGTGCTGGAAGTGCATTGCTTCTCGTTTGAATGGTCAATCCGGTTTTCAACCTTTCAATCAACGAAGGGATGACAATAGGAGTCTCTGCAATGGGTCTCTTGTTTTTCTCGTGAACCGAGACATTCTGAAGCAGTGTGATCAAATCCTCTTGGAGTTCAGGATCCAGCAGCAAATCAGCTGCACTACTAGTACTGGCTGGTGAAACAAGTGGTTCGAGCAATCTGGAAATATCGTCCTTGCACTCTACAAAAAGGGCTTGAAATGAGGGCTGATATGTGGTTAGACGCCGAAGCTCTCTTGCTGCTTTTTTCTGATCAGAGATTGAAGAAGAGGAAATCTTTTCGAGCAGCAAATTTAAACAAACTTCGTCTGCTTCAGTTATCACTGTCTCACTAATTATAGGTTCAAGAGGCTCTGGTACTTTGATGCTACTATGGTCCTTGCACCATTGTGCTATCATTTCTCGCACCAAGTGATTGGGGCTGAGGATAGTATAGGAGATGACTTTCTTTAGAGGGCGTGACCAATGGTCTTCGTCTAACAATTCCATAATGGAACGTCGATCACAGGTCTGTATTTAACCACCATACCTCAAACAAAAAAAAATAAAATAAAATAAAAAAATAAAAAAAATAAAGAAGAAGAAGAAGAAGAAGAAGAAGAAGAAGAAGAAGAATGATTTTAAAATAAAATAAGAGTACGAAGAATGATCTTAATCTCGTAATCATCTTCATCAAGAATGGGCTTTATCTGTCTCTGCAATTCTTTCTTTAACTCCGTGGCATTTTCTGCCTTTCGTGGACCAGTATCAAAGTCTTCTGGGTTTGCCATGGGAGCAAATCTTGAAAGAGATAACAAAAATGGAAGACCAAGAAAGAAGGGAAAAAATAAAATAAAATCGAATTGGGTTTGTGCTTGAGAAGAGTGGGAAAGAAATGAGAATTAAATGACACTTTCGAGTTTTCACTGAGAAGAGTTGATGGACATATATATATACCGCTACTTTGTCTCTGTCGCAGTAGAAAAGTGGTTTTCCTGATCATTGTAACCAATCGTTTAATGCCACACAAGGTTTTGAAATTGGCGGTGTTTGAATACACTTGAAAATGTTCAAAAAAAGTATTTTTCTATGACATAAATTTGATTAATACTCTACAATGAGTTTGTTAAAATAGAAAATTAATAGTAAATGGTGTTTACACAATGTCATCCCTGTGACTGTTCTAAAAGTAGGCTCACTGGGCGCAATATCGAATGTCATAAAAGATATAAGTGAAGTTTTATTAGACCCAAGTTGTCATGTGATCAAGTCACGGGAGCACCATTGTAAGGGAGGGATTGATCGAAGGACTCATTCCTTTAGTTGAGCCATTTCTTGAATGGATGAGTGAAACAATGCCGCATTTTTTTTCTTGTTGTTTATTATGATCTTTAGGCTTGTTTGTGAAGGAACTATTTTAATGGATTTTTATTTTTTATAAAAAGACGTGTAAAAAAGTAGAGACAGTAATGTGACTACGTGCATTGTTTTTGACTTTTTGGCTAAAATAGCCTATTTTGTAAGAGTTAGGTGTGCCAATAGAATGGGTATTTGCAGATGGGCTATTGTTCCCAAATACATATGACAGTCTCCCCTTTCAACTGCAATTTATGCTAAGATTGCTTTATCTAAGACTAATAGATCGATTCTGCTTCAGATTACATTTGTGTACATGTTTATGGTGATAGCTTGCAGCCTCTCTCTCTCTCTCTCACACACAGACCCACAAAGAATGGGAGAACTAATTAGAGCAGCCGGGCAGAAAAACAGCAAGTGAAGTCACCAGAAATACCCAAGTATTTATTTATTCAGAATGAAAAGAGGAAAAATATCAATATCCTTTGCAAAACTTTCCTAGCTAATAGTATGGTTGACTATCAAATTTGTACAATTTTTTTTTTTTTAATGTGATCATTTTACTTACAAGTAACTGAGCGATCAGATAGAATATATGAATAAGTGAATGAGTGAGTGGTCAGTGAGTGAGAGTGTATCTATTGTACGAAGCCTTTCCACAGCTTATCAAGAATAGCATTGCCATTCCTTGAGGCCTTTGGATTCTTACTCACTGCAACTCTGGAGATCGTTCTGGTGGCAGTTTCTGCTTCCCACATCTCTTTCCTTTTACTGTTATCGCGCTTACAGATATCCAATAAAATTGTAGCACAATTCACCATGTTGGTTTCATCATTGGTCGTCCTCATGATTTTCAGCAACCAAGGCACCGCGCCAAGCTCCCCCAACTCCTCCACAGCTTGCTGTTGGCTTGAAAGCGATGTCAGTATCACAAGCTTGTAACAGATTGTAACAGCCCTTTAGTTTCTCCATTTTGAATTCATTTGAAATACTTGTACCTTAGTGTTAGGAAACAGTTTTAACTGCTCTACATTTTAGGATTTCAAACAAATGTTTGTTATCCTGTATGTGTATATATCTGCTGCAAATTGTATATGCAAGTCAGGTTGATTTCCTCAAGCTAATATGGTATCAAGAGCCTAAACTGATCCATTGTTCCATCCTCTTTTTTTTTTTTTTTTTTTCCTGTTCTTCAGCACTCATGACTACCGATTCTGCCGCTGCAACCATCCTCAACACCAATGAAGCACACCAAACTCTCATCAGCATTAACGCTGCTGCTCAAGCCCCTCTCAAACTCACCTCTACCACTTACCTCTCCTGGAAACTACAGTTCTAAACCCTCTTCATTGGCTATGACCTTCTTGGCTACATTGATGGCTCCAACCCATGTCCGCCACCCACCATAACCCAAGCCAATACCATCATTCCTAATCCCCGTTACACTCTATGGAACCGACAGGACCAACTGATCCTCAACGCTATTATTGGCTCCATTTCACCCACCATTATTCCTTTCATAGCTCAAGCTCAAACCTCTAAACAAGCCTGGACAATTCTAGCCAACACTTATGCTAAACCCTCTCGAGGCCGCATCAAACAAATCAAAACCCAAATCAAAAACACCACCAAAGGCTCCCTTAGCATCACTGAGTTTATGCAAACCATCAAAACTCGAACCGATGACCTTGCTCTTCTTGGCGCTCCAATGGATGAAGAAGAAATCACAGACAAAATCCTCGATGGCCTCGGTGATGAATACAAAGAATTAGTCCGAGCTGTCCAAGCTAGAGATACCTCTATCACTTTTGAAGAACTTCACGAAAAACTCCTCAACTTTGAAGCCTCCCTTCACAGCATCCAACCTGAGCCACATCACTTCCCAGCCACTGCAAATCCCACCTACAAACCCAACACCCGAAATTGGCGTCCTTCCCCACCACAAAACACTACCACCACAAATTGGCGCCCATCCCTTAACTCCACCAACCACCCATCTGCTGCAACCACTACAGGACCTCATTCCTCACAGGGCCCACGTCCTCCACCCAGGCCATACCTTGGTCACTGCCAAATTTGCAGGCTTCAGGGTCACACTGCCAAACGGTGTCCTTCATTTCGTCTTGTACCAGTTCAGTCTTTCCCCACATCCCGCTCTTCTCCACAAGGCACACCCTGGCAACCACAAGCTCATCTTGCCACCCAACCTTCCACCATGCCATCCTGGCTTTTGGACAGTGGTGCATCACACCATGTCACATCTGATCTCAACAACCTCTCATTGCATGCTCCCTACATTGGCACTGATGACATCATGATCGGTGATGGCTCCAATCTTGCCATCACCCACACTGGTTCCACCTCTCTCCAAACTCCTCACCAAAACTTTACATTAAACAATGTTCTGTGTGTTCCATCTATGAAAAAGAACCTAATCTCTATTTCACAATTTTGCACTTCTAACAATGTTTCCATTGAGTTCTTACCATCCACTTTTCTTGTGAAGGAACTTCAAACTGGGGCCACACTGCTGAAGGGACAGACTAAAGATGGTGTATATGAGTGGCCAACCTCCTCCCTTTTACTTGCTTTCTCCACAATCAAGACAACAACCATTGACTGGCACCATCGCTTAGGACATCCAGCTTTTCCAATTCTCAAGCATATTGTTTCTAGCAATGCCTTAGGCTTATCTTCGTCTTTATCTTCTGATTTTTCCTGTAATGCTTGTCTTTGCAATAAAAGCCACAAATTGTCTTTCTCCAATTCTACTATTGTCACTACTAAACCTCTTGAAGTCATATTCTCTGATGTCTGGACCTCTCCCATTTACTCACATAATGGCTTTAAATATTATGTAATCTTCATTGATCATTTCACTAAATATATTTGGTTTTACCCACTCAAACACAAATCTGATGTCAAAGAAGTCTTCATACGATTCAAAGCCATTGTGGAAAAACACTTCACTTCCACCATCCAAACACTCTATTCAGACAACGGTGGTGAATACCTTTCCCTAGCTAATTTTCTTTCCACCAATGGTATATCACATCTCACCACTCCCCCTCACACACCTGAACACAATGGTTACTCTGAAAGACGACACCTTCATATCGTCGAAACCGGTCTAGCTCTCCTCACTCATGTTTCTTTACCCCTCTCCTACTGGACCTATGCCTTTGCTATAGCAGTCTACCTTATCAATAGAATGTCCACTCCCACTTTAAATCTCTCCTCACCCTTCCACAAAATCTTTCTGACAGCCCCCAACTACTCCAAATTAAGGGTCTTTGGTTGTTTATGCTACCCTTGGCTCAGACCTTACACCTCACACAAGCTTGAATCACGGTCCAAGCCGTGTGTTTTCCTTGGCTACTCTCTCACTCAAAGTGCATACTACTGTCTTGACCCTTCCACCTCAAAAATCTATGTCTCAAGACATGTCAAATTTGTTGAATCCCACTTTCCATACTCTTCACTGTCTAGACCGTCCACTAGTCCTCTCCCCAACCTCATCGCCACTTGGATTCCTGCCCCAATTCCAGTTCTTGCACCCTCTTCCCAGCCGCCACTCCATACACCGTCTGACGTCATCGTCTCTCAACACCCTCAAAGTGCAGCTCCAACACACACTACATATGTTTAGAGGTTTTGTCCTTAGTCATCGGTAGAGGATGGCATTGTTGTTGTTGAGTAGATGATGTGCATGTATTATACTTATACGATATTAGAATATAAACACATAACTAGTTATGTGATAAATAGATACAAGACTCATAGAATATAAACACATAACTAGTTCCATTTTTTTAAACCAACCATTTCTTATTTCCTTTCATAAAAGAGTTACGCACGCCATTTTATTTCCAAAACCAAATCCGTTGTTTCAAAACCATCAACTACGTTCACCCTTGGCCAAGACTTCACATTTTTCCTTAAACCAATCCAATTCATAAAGCACAACTTACTACAAAGTTAATCAAACCGCTACTAAACCCAATTAAGTTTCATTTTAATAACTAAGCCGCTATTCTAATTCTTTAACACATAACTCGGTTATTACACATTTTCACCCATTTTATGATTAATTAAGCCCATAATGATAAATTAGGATTTTTCTCCCTTCTCAACACAAACATGCCCAGTTACCTCTCAATTAACCGAAACACCCACAACTCATCCAATTCCAACTCCCAAAATCTAAACCCCAAACCCCTATCATGCTTTTGTAAAATTTCTTAACAACTTGTTTTTAAATACTATAAAAACTACCACATGTATATCTAGAACGAGGTATTGAAAAGGAGCAAAGAAATCCCTACCTCAAGCAAGAAGAGAAGACAATCCAAAAACTCACCGGCCACGAAACAACGATCAACTCAGATTAAATGAAAGCCTTCATGAAGCTCTTCATTTTACTCGAAAGCACTAT